CGAAGGTCCTGCTCCGCGGCTGCCTTCTTTTCGGCTTTAGCCACAGCCTTCTGAAGCGCCTCAATTTCGGCATTCGCCCCTAGAGCGCATAATACAAATACTTTCATCAGGCACGCCTACTCATTTGTGCTACAATTAACAAGATTTCAGCATACCTTGATTGTCCTCCAACTGCTTCTTCACTCGGCCAAGTTCTTCTTCGACCCGCTCCAGACTGTGCTTCAGTCCGGATACTTCCGCAGTATGAGAGGCGGCAGTCGCTACAGACGCATGTTTATAAAGAAAGAGATATATGTCATTAAATGAGTCTCCTGTGAACGGAAATTTGATCCTCTGTCCGGTTCTTTCTTTTATCGGACAGGGTATCAGGGGCTACTATCCATACTATGACAATCTTCAAAAGCTCATAAAACATACCTCAAAGCCTTTTATAAGGCTAATGCAGGATTCATTCAGTCCACTCTCAGCGGACCGAATCTTCTCAATCACCGCACCCATAAGGGCGCGATGTTCATCGATGATGGAAGCACTCTTTAGCGTCGTTGATAAGCTGCCATGCACCTCTGGTTGGGCAGAGGTTGTTGGCGGAGCAGGCTCGCCCCCTCCAGTAAAGGGGGGCTGCCTGCCTGATCCTGGAACCTCAAAGGTTTCCGGGACTGTGTCCAGCTGTGGGCCGAATTCAATATCACCCCCACCGTCGACGCTCATGGGAGCCGTCGCTCCTGTGTATCCGGCCCCTGAGGTATGCCCTCCCTGGTCTGGGTCCTTCTGGGACGACACCTCGGTGTCATGCCTAGGCTTCGAGGAAGGGGCCTTCGGAGTGTCTCGCTCTCTAGGGCATCTGAGCTCAACGAGTCCTCCGACGAGGATTGTTCGGTGCGAGACCTCGCCGGGCTGCAAAAAAGTGTGGCGCAAATTAAAATATTATGCCTTAATGATCATGGATGCATAGGCGTGTTCGTATTTTGTGTACTCACGAGTTTACCAGGGGCTGGGCCCTGGGATCCCACTCCGGGCTGCTATCGGTAGCCATGGTGGACGCCTCTGGAAGGGGGTCTTTCCCCTCTTAGGCAATTCAGCCTCCAAGGATGAGGAGGCCGTCCTTTTTTTCCTCCCCCCATGGGGGACTCGTCTTCTTCCTCCTCCTCGTCATCTTCGGAGGAAGGTTGGGCGTTGGAGTCTTCGGATTTTGTGTCTGAAGCATCGCAGCGACGGAAGCCGCTCCTGGTCTCCTTGGCCTCCTTGAAGGCCTCTTTCTTCGGCGCCTTGTAAGGCGCTGGGACCAACATCTTCGTCAGAAGTGGTCCTGCTGGTTCTTCTGGCAGCGGGGCCGGACAATGTATCCGCCCCGCCTTCTTTGTCCATCCCTGGGATAACTGTGGAAAGCATGATAAAGTGTATTCCTCGGGATATGCCAACTAAACATGGATGGACAAAACATAGCGATGACTTACCGGACTTGCAGGGTGGGACAGTTGATACCCGTGGTCCTCGGCGGAGTCCAGCCACGGTTTGCCGGACTTGAAGAGCACCTTCCATATATCCTGCGAGGAGCCGTAGAGCTCCTGCAGGGTCTAGTGCTCGGCCGGGTCGTACTCCCACAAATTACAGGTCCGGTGTTGGCAAGGAAGAACCAGGTGAACTAACATCACCTGGACTACATTGACGAGCTTGATGTCCTCGTCTACCATACCCTTGACGCGCGTTTGGAGCACCGACAGTTCATCAGACGAGGACCAGTTCATGCCCTTCTTGGGCCAGGACGTAAGCCGCAGGGGGCTCCGTAACTGAATTCGAGAGAAACGGCTCACTTTTTGCCGCGCGGCTCAGTGATGTAGAACCACTGCTGCTGCCACTCCTTGACGGAATCATTGAAGGTGCCTGTCGGCCATGTGACCTTGGGCATCTTGCTCACCATGGCGCCTCCGCACTTGGCGTGCTCGCCGTTCACCACCTTGGGCTTCACGTTGAAGATCTTCATCCATAAGCCGAAGTGTGGCGAAATACGGAGAAAGGCCTCACACGCGACAATAAATATCGAGATGTTGAGGAAAGAGTTAGGGGATAGATCATGAAAATCAATCCCATAATAATACATGATGCCACGAACAAATGGGTGAAGGGGAAACCCGAGCCCGTGGACAAAATATGGAGGAACACAACCCTCTCATGGGGCTCCGGAGTAGGGACGATCTATCCCGCTGTTGGAAGACGGTGGCCGATTTTCTTGGCCAGGTACCCGGCCTCCCAAAGCTTTTTGATATCCTTCTCCCGGACGGTATAGGCCATCCATTTGCCTCCTGCTCCGGATCTGGACATTTTTGGAGAACCTCTTTTGGAGGAGAAGACGAACGCTTGGGCGCTAAGGGCTCGAGCGAAAGGGAATGGACGAGCAGAAGGAGAAGGTGTGGGTAAAGAAGAAGGGGCCTTATCTCTTTATAAAGGCAACAAAATTTGCGCCTCCCCGCTTGCCTGGTAGAACCTGCTAGTTCCCCACTCGCCGCGATTGGCGGTACGGTTTGGTTACCCGCACCCGTATTGATGAGAGTCCCGTGATAAGGGGACACGATCTCTGCCTCGACAAGATGTGCCAAGGAAACTGCCTCGCAATATGTGCGGTGGTTGGTTGAGAAGAAAATAGTTCGAATAATGACCGGGCCGTGGTGTGATGTCACGCTGTGTAAAGTTGTCAGCAGATTAGATTCGTAGAATATTGTTCTCTCTACGGTGGTATGTGGAATTTATTTTGCAGAACCGGACACGATCCTTGTGTTCGAAATTTGCCTTGGAGTATTCGGAGATGGAACCCGCCTTGCAATGCCGAAGATAAACTGTGCGCTGGACTCATCGTCATTGAAGCCTAGTTCAGGGGCTACCGAGGGACTCCTGGATTAGGGGGTTCATAAGCACATTTCATATATACAATTTTGGCATAGAAATATATTATTTATTGAGATATGACCATCAATTCTTGCTGTGAAATATTGAATATTTGCATGAAAATCATTTAAAGTATCATTTACTAGTCATTGTGTTTCTTTTGCAGAAAAGTGCGCAAAGGCACTATAAACTTCAAGATCTGGACTAGTGGCTAAGAGAACTAGTCAAGTGAAAAGGAAGAAGAAAGACAGAGGGACTTGTGCGTGAAGAAATGATGCTCCATGGGACAAGTTAAAGAAGAAAGGGACCTTCTTATGAAGAAAGAAGAAAAGGAGAAGGGCCAAAATTGCAAAGTGGCAGATCAGAGGAGGGGTCAAAATCCCTAGCGGCAGCTAATCCCCATCGGGTCGGGCATCTCATCTCTCTCCCTCACCCCACCTTCTCCACCACCGGCCGCCACCGCAGCCAGGCCGGCGTGGGGTGCGCCACCGCTCCACCGCGCCTCCACCTTCACCGCGCCCTCCATCCACCAGCACCTCCATACACCACCATCCATCCACTCCATCACCACCGCGCGCTGCTGCACCATCCATTAGCGCTACCCCTTCACCACCATCACTTGCGCGCCCGACCAGACGAGGTGTCTGATCCCCCGCGCGCCTCCAACTGCTCTTCTTCCCTTGCCTCACTTCTCTTGCTCCTCTTCTCAAAGTCCTCTTGCTGCTGCTCCGCTTATCCCCATGAATTTGTTGCTGCTCCGCTTCTCCCCATGAACCTGCTGCTGCTCTGCTTCCTGATGCCCTTGCTTCATCTCTGAACCCATCTCTGTTGTTGTTCTTCCTCACCAAACTGCTGCTGCTCCCAACCCCTTGCTGCTATCTCTCTCTATTGCCCCTGCTACCCTTCTTCTCTGAACCTACCTACTCCTTCTCTCTCTCTCTCTCTCTCTCTATCTATCTATCTATCTCTCTCTCTCTCTCTCTCTCTGAAATACCTGTGCAATTGAGATGTTTGAGACTTTGTAAGGTTCAGACTTTGTAAAATTCAGAATTGAGATGTGTATGGTGTGTAATGTTCAGATTTGACTAGTGTAAGCATCTTGTTATTTGTTCAGTTTGGTACTGGTATAATAAGGTACTTGTTATGTTGGATCTGACTAGTGGAGGCCTTGTTAATTTGAGAGATTATTGATCTATTAGAATTTGCTTCTGTGAATTAGTATTCTGTTAGCATATGAATGTGTTCACCCCTTGTGTGCTTGTTCCTTACTGAAATTTATTCCATTGTCCATGTGTTAGCTCTAGTACATGTGCTATATAAATACATGTGTGTTTGTGGTGTAAACCATCTATATTGAGTCTTATAATCTTGTTTCTCCCATCTCTTACATGTTAGATAGTCATTTGTGTTCACTTCCCTTTTATCGATAATGTCCGTGTTAGTATTTTAATTTCTCAAGCATTACGAAAATACCAAAAAGATTGTTGAAGATAATCTGGACCTTTCTGTACTTTATTTTGCATTTTCTTTGTCGACGATCTTTGGGAATGACCTTGTTAGTTTAGGTTTTATTTTCTGCATTCATCTCTTAAAATTGTGTTACCTAGATTTAGCCGAGCATAGTCGTCGTCGCCTAGTCCCTGTGGAGAACACGACATCCGTAGTTTGGGGCATAAAAACCTTGTTATATTACAATTGATCATTTTGGCGCCGTTGCTGGGGACTAGCGTTGAGCGATTGTGTTAGGCTATAGACTAGATTTACTTTAGTTCCTTGTTCAATTCGTCGTGTATTTCATCTTCAGTGTTTTTTCCTCTACTTTCCCCCATTGTTGCTTCGGCTTATTAGGATACTAACCTTCTGACTAGTGTTTACTGTTTATGAGTGTGTGTAGGGAATCATAAATCTTTGCTGGTTGTTCTATAGTTACACTTGGTTAAGATATGGCATTGCTTCGTGATCTTTGGATGCCAAGTAGTCAATGTTATATCACAGGACCGGTTTGGCCAACTATTGAGGCAGAGAATTTTGAGATGAAGCCTGGTCTTATTGCTTTGGTTCAACAAAAACAGTTTGGAGGACTGCCCACTGAGGATCCCTATGAGCACTAATACCGAGTCATGGAGTATTCAGGTACAGTCAAGTACCATGGAGTTCCTCAAGATGCTATCAAGTGCATGATGTTCTCATTCTCTCTCCGGGATGATGCTCGTGCTTGGTATCGATCCTTGCCATCAAGGTCATACAGTTGGAATGAGATATCGCGAGCTTTCTTGGATAAATATTTCCCACTACACAAGCAGTCCGCAATTCGAGATGAGATCTTCAATTTTGTTCAGCGTGAAGGCGAGAGCTTGTATGATGCTTGGGAGAGATACAAGGCTTTATTCAGGATATGTCCTAACCACGGGCTCAAGAGATGGTTAGAGTTGCAGATATTCTATAGAGGATTGACTTGGGACACTCGAGCTTACGTCGATATGGCAGCGGGCGGAGCTATTACAAACAAGACACTTGATGATGCTTTTCTGCTGATTGAGAGCATATCTTTCCACCAACTTCGGTGGTACAATGATAAGCCCACCTCTGATTCATTGGTTTGCTTGCAACAAATCACTACACCTCAGCCGCCAATTCTTACACAAAATCCTGAACCTCTATCTCAGTGTGACAAGGTTGAGCTTGCATGGATTATATTTGACGATGATGACACCATTCTAGTTGACGCACACGCTACAGATCACATGGATACTAGTGTTGGAGATTCAGTTTTGCATTGTAATGATTCTTCCATGGATGAGCCGGAGCTACAGTTAGTTGCTTTTGATATTGAGGAGTCACCTTTAGTTCATATTGAGCATGTGCTGGTAGAGCCAGATATGGAGAAGTTCTCCTTCGATGATGTCAGCTGCATTGATTCCTCAACACTTGAGCCTGAGATGGAGAGCTTCATGGTTGACTATGATGAGGTGGATTCAGATGTCAAGGAGCCAAGCTCTACTATTTCACTTGTTGACATGAGTCCAGTGGAAATTTCTACAAGCACACCTCACTTGGTATCTTCAATTGAGGTAGTCCTGAAGGTTCTTCCTAACTATCTCAGGTATGATCTCAGCTTTCTTGACAAGATATGCCATATCATGGATACTGCCTATGCACCATGCGGTCTATTGATGATATTTATTTGTCATATGCTTAGATATGCTTATGTGATAGGATACTCTATTGATGACTTAGAGGGCATTGTCCCTATCATTTGTATTGGCTTGTTTGTTGAGTGTTCTTTCAGGTTTACGCTTGTGTACCATTCATTGTGGGCTGACCAAGTTCGAGATGACATCCCATGGGATCCTAGTGGACTCAAAGCATGGCGATGAGGAGAAGCAAGGGGGCACACACGAGGAAGGGAGAAGCTAGAGCAGGCATGAGGATAGAGAAGCAAAAGGAGAGGAGCTGTAGTTGGTGAGGTGATCGAGGGAGTGCTACTTCATTAAGCCCGGTGAGCTGTTTCATGACCCATTCTGAATATCATAAATACATGATGAATTCAATTGCTAGTTGGGTTGCTTGAGCCAGTTATTACTTGTTGTCAAGCTGAATTTCACCTTTGGCATTGTGCTTGATGTGAATTTGTGAACTTGATTTTTGAATGCCTTGTAAACTAGTGATCTACACCATGCATGCTTTGCTGAAATTAGTGAAAGTTATTAGTTTTGAGTGCTCAAATCCCTAGTACACTAGAAAACTTAATCATTTTCTGCTTTTACCTCGATACACCTAGATCACCACGTTTAGATGCTGAATTTGTGCCAAGTGTCTTCCCATTGAGAGCAATCACCTAACCACTATGGATTAGCATGTTATGTTCCTTGGATCGGTAGCATGTGAACCAGACATGGAGAAGTGATGATTCCTGTTTTTGTTCTTATGCGTTGTTCATTTAAGTTAAGTAATAATGAATAAATAAGTCTGGCTACCTACAGTAGCATGTCATGTTCCCGGGATCGGTGGCATGTGAAATTAGGTTAGCTTGGGCAGTAATTAATTATAATAAAAATGTAATTGTCGAACCAGGTGTATACCATGTTCTCGGGATCGGTGGTATGTTCCTTTGGGGAGACAAGCAAAAAATATTAATAAAAATTGGTTGAGCCAGGTGTATACCATGTTCTCGGGATCGGTGGTATGTTCCTTCGGTGAGACTAATGAAATAATATGTGTGTTTCTTTCAAATTCAATAAGTGGTTCAACCACAAAGTCATATTTCTGCAAATAAGAGATTTAATTCCAGTTCTTTTTGTTCTCGGGATCATGCTCTCTTTAGGAACCATTTGGCGCAGTCATCATTTAAACTTGTTGATCCTCTTTTATCATTGTAAAGGTTTAAAATGGTCATGCTTACTAGTATCTTACCGCTTTGAAGCACTCCTAACCATTAATTTTTACTAGCTAAGTCCAAAGCATGCACTGTTTAGGCATCTACTTCACTTGGTATTCTCTAGTCAGCTCACTGTTCACATTCTTGCTCTTGTCATATGCCTTTGCTTGAGGACAAGCAAAAGTTTAAGTGTGGGGGAACTTGATAAGCACATTTCATATATACAATTTTGGCATAGAAATATATTATTTATTGAGATATGACCATCAATTCTTGCTGTGAAATATTGAATATTTGCATGAAAATCATATAAAGTATCATTTACTAGTCATTGTGTTTCTTTTGCAGAAAAGTGCGCAAAGGCACTATAAACTTCAAGATCTGGACTAGTGGCTAAGAGAACCAGTCAAGTGAAAAGGAAGAAGAAAGACAGAGGGACTTGTGTGTGAAGAAATGATGCTCCATGGGACAAGTTAAAGAAGAAAGGGACCTTCTTATGAAGAAAGAAGAAAAGGAGAAGGGCCAAAATTGCAAAGTGGCAGATCAGAGGAGGGGTCAAAATCTCTAGCGGCAGCTAATCCCCATCGGGCCGGGCATCTCATCTCTCTCCCTCACCCCACCTTCTCCACCACCAGCCGCCGTCGCAGCCAGGCCGGCGTGGGGCGCGCCACCGCTCCACCGCGCCTCCACCTTCACCGCGCCCTCCATCCACCAGCACCTCCATACACCACCATCCATCCACTCCATCACCATCGCGCGCCGCTGCACCATCCATTAGCGCTACCCCTTCACCACCATCACTTGCACGCCCGACCAGACGAGGTGTCTGATCCCCCGCGCGCCTCCAACTGCTCTTCTTCCCTTGCCTCACTGCTCTTGCTCCTCTTCTCAAAGTCCTCTTGCTGCTGCTCTGCTTCTCCCCATGAACTTGCTGTTGCTCCACTTCTCCCCATGAACCTGCTGCTGCTCTGCTTCCTGATGCCCTTGCTTCATCTCTGAACCCATCTCTGTTGCTGTTCTTCCTCACCAAACTGCTGCTGCTCCCAACCCCTTGCTGATATCTCTCTCTACTGCCCCTACTACCCTTCTTCTCTAAACCTACCTACTCCTTCTCTCTCTCTCTCTCTCTCTAAAATACCTATGCAATTGAGATCTTTGAGACTTTGTAAGGTTCAGACTTTGTAAAATTCAGAATTGAGATGTGTATGGTGTGTAATGTTCAGATTTGACTAGTGTAAGCATCTTGTTATTTGTTCAGTTTGGTACTGGTATAATATAGTACTTGTTATGTTGGATCTGACTAGTGGAGGCCTTGTTAATTTGAGAGATTATTGATCTATTAGAATTTGCTTCTGTGAATTAGTATTCTGTTAGCATATGAATGTGTTCACCCCTTGTGTGTTTGTTCCTTACTAAAATTTATTCCATTGTCCATGTGTTAGATCTAGTACATGTGCTATATAAATACATGTGTGTTTGTGGTGTAAACCATCTATATTGAGTCTTATAATCTTGTTTCTCCCATCTCTTACATGTTAGATAGTCATTTGTGTTCACTTCCCTTTTGTCGATAATGTCCGTGTTAGTATTTTAATTTCTCAAGCATTACGAAAATACCAAAAAGATTGTTGAAGATAATCTGAACCTTTCTGTACTTTATTTTGCATTTTCTTTGTCGACGATCTTTTGGAACGACCTTGTTAGTTTAGGTTTTATTTTCTGCATTCATCTCTTAAAATTGTGTTACCTAGATTTAGCCGAGCATAGTCGTCGTCGCCTAGTCCCTGTGGAGAACACGACATCCGTAGTTTGGGGCATAAAAACCCCGTTATATTACAATTGATCAGGGGTATCCGGATAGCCGGACTATATACTTTGGCCGGACTGTTGGGCTATGAAGATACAAGATTGAAGACTTCGTCCTGTGTCCGGATGGGACACTCCTTTGCGTGGAAGGAAAGCTTGGCAATTCGGATGTTAGATCTCCTTCTCTGTAACCGACTCTGTGTAACCCTAGCCCCCTCCGATGTCTATATAAACCGAAGGGTTTAGTCCGTAGAACAACAACAATCATAACCATAGGCTAGCTCCTAGGGTTTAGCCTCTATGATCTCCTGGTAGATCAACTCTTGTAATACTCATATCATCAAGATCAATCAAGCCGGAAGTAGGGTATTACCTCCATCGAGAGGGCCCGAACCTGGGTAAATATCGTGTCCCTAGCCTCCTGTTACCATTAGCCTTAGACACACAGTTCGGGACCCCCTACCCGAGATCCGCCAGGTTTTGACACCGATAATATGCCCTAGAGGAAATAACAAAGTTATTATTTATTTCCTTAATTCATGATAAATGTTTATTATTCATGATAGAATTGTATTAACTGGAAACTTAGTACATGTGTGAATACATAGACAAGACATATAGTCCCCAGTATGCCTCTACTTAACTAGCTCGTTAATCAAAGATGGTTATGTTTCCTAACCATAGACATGTGTTGTCATTTGATGAACGGGATCACATCATTAGGAGAATGATGTGATGGACATGACCCATCCGTTAGCTTAGCATTATGATCGTGTTAGTTTCATTGCTACTGCTTTCTTCATGACTTATACAAGTTCCTCAGACTATGAGATTATGCAATTCCTGAATACCGGAGGAACACTTTGTGTGCTACCAAACATCACAACGTAAAAGGGTAATTATAAAGGTGCTCTACAGGTGTCTCCGAAGGTGTTTCTTGGGTTGGCATAGATCAAGATTAGGATTTGTCACTCCGTTTTTCGGAGAGGTATCTCTGGGCCCTCACGGTAATACTCATCACTATAAGCCTTGCAAGCATTGTGACTAATGAGTTAGTCACAGGATGAAGTATTAAGGAACGAGTAAAGATACTTTCCGGTAACGAGATTGAGCTAGGTATGATGATACCAACGATCGAATCTCGGGCAAGTAACATACCGATGATAAAGGGAACAACATATGTTGTTATGCGGTTTGACCGATAAAGATCTTCGTAGAATATGTAGGAACCAATATGAGCATCTAGGTTCCGTTAATGGTTATTGACCGGAGAAGTGTCTCGGTCATGTCTACATAGTTCTCGAACCCCGTAGGCTCCGCACGCTTAACGTTCGATGACAATTGGTATTATGAGTTTATGTGATATGATGTACCGAAGATTGTTCAGAGTCTCGGATATGATCATGGACATGACAAGGAGTCTTGAAATGGTCGAGACATAAAGATTGATATATTGGACGGCTATATTCGGACACCGGAAGTGTTCCGGAGAAGTTTCGGATAAAACCGGAGTGCCGGAGGGTTACCGAAACCCCCCGGGGGAACTATTGGGCCTCGATGGGCCTTAGTGGAGACAGAGAGTGGCGGCCAGGGCAGGCCACATGCCCCCTCCCCTCGAGTCCGAATAGGACAAGGAGGGGCGCAGTGCCCCCTTTACTTCCCCCTCTTCCCCTCTTGGTGGAATCCTACTAGGACTAGTAGTCCTAGTAGGACTCCCCTCTTGGGGCGTGCCTACAGGAGCTGGCCGGCCTCCCCCTTGCTCCTTTATATACAGGGGTAGGTGGACACCCTAGAACACACAAGTTGACAATTTTTTTAGCCGTGTGCGGTACCCCCTCCACAGATTTCCACCTCGGTCATTATCGTCGTAGTGCTTAGGCGAAGCCCTGCGTTGGTAACTTCATCATCACCGTCACCATGCCGTCGTGCTGACGAAACTCTCCCAAGACCTCAGCTGGATCTAGAGTTCGTGGGACGTCACCGAGCTGAACGTGTGCAAATCGCGGAGGTGCCTTATCTTTGGTGCTAGGATCAGTCGGATCGTGAAGACGTACGACTACATCAACCGCGTTGTCATAATGCTTCCGCTTTTGGTCTACGAGGGTATGTAGACAACACTCTCCCCTCTCATTGCTATGCATCACCCAGATAGATCTTGCATGATCATAGGATTTTTTTTTAAACTACCACGTT